ATGTGAATTTCAGTATGACGTGTGCAATCCTCAGAGGAAAAGAACTGTGTAGGGGAAAGGTTGACAGCAATGCGATATTGGTTACATACAGGGAGGCAGATCAAATGTATTAAAAATTATGACAAAGTAACTTCTCAGCAATCGGGAGTAATAAATGGAAAGAAATGAAGCTAGAGTTAATTTTGTGATGTTGGGTAGAAATTCAGAATAGTGGTGGGATTATGTGGATATAATTCTATCAAACTGAGCATCTCATTGGTATCACGTAGAACCAACTCATATCTGACCCTCTAGGGGTTTATAGCGGATGTAAGTCTCATTTCACCAGCTGGAGCTCTCGTGGTCAAGAAAGTGTGTGGCAATCCCAAAGGTACACAATTCGAATCCACCAGCTGCTCTTCAGGAGAAAGATCAGCAGTTCCTCTCATGTAATTAACTGCCTCAGAAAACTTTCTGGAGGGTCAGTGTTGACTCAGTGGTACTCAACCATAAGTCACCTGTGCAGAAATGGTCCATCTTTTTTCTGCAGAGCTGCAGGAAGACTTGAACTACTTGCCTTTGGGTTATCAGCACAACTCCTTACCCATAAGGCCATCAGAGAGATATGGAAATGTGTGTATGGATATATAAACTTATATTCCTAATGAGGACCTAAGAGCAGCAACATTTCAGTAGTTGTGTGCACACCTTATTAGCTTCTCTCCTCCCATGCAATTAACTGCCTCTGAAAACCCGCTGGAGAGTCAGATATGAATCTGTTCTGATTCGATGGTGCACAACAGTGACTTAAAAGAAACAAAGAGTAGGACAGGCACAATACAACAAAAACTTCAATCTTGTAAAGCCAAAAAGTCAAGAATTATATACAGAATGATGGCATAAGCCACAGAAACTTTGAACAATTTGGACATCAATATACTACTACTTTTACTTTTGGTTGTTGTGTGGCATCGAGTCAGAACTGACCCGTAGCTGATCCTCTAGCAAGTTTTCAGAGGCAGTTAAACTCATGCATGATTCTCTCGAGGAGCAGATGGTCTTCTCATCACCAGGCCACCAGAGCTCCCTACTGTTACTACTGCTAGGGAGGGTGGAGGGACAGCACAAGAAAGGAAGCTCCTTGAGGAGATAGATCGATTCAGTGACTGGAGTAATGAGGGATAGGTGTGTCAGAGACAATAAGGCTGGCACAGGACAGAGCAGAGTTTAGGGCTCTTGTACATAGGGTTGCTATGAATCGCAAGCAACTCGAAGGCACATGACAACAACTAATAATGATAATGCTGGATTGTAAACCATTAAATAGGAATTTATGAATCTGTAGTATAGAAATAAATTAGTAAATCAAGCATTTGATAAGGAAAAGAATATTTACAGTAGTTTCAATGTAATGTCATAAGATACCTTATACAAGTTACTTATTGATTCTGTCAGTTTGCTTTACTGAGGTAATCTGGGTTTGCTGTGAAGCAGAACCTTGTGCCTTTGGGGAGTCAAATGCCATAATGGCTACCCATGATGGACAGTGCTTGGTGGAGCTCCAAGTTTAAACAGGTTTGGAAGCAGGAGTGGCATTGACTTCCTAAGCCACATGCCTCTGGAAACTCTACTAACTTGGAGAAATCAAGATATTTATAGAAAGGCTTCAGACCATTTGTTCATACGTTTGCTATGAGTCGTGATAGACTCGACAGCAATCAACAACAACAACAACAACAACTTATTACAAAGAGTAAAGGCTAACTTCAGGGGGGAAAGTTCTACTAGTCATTCTCACTGAAATCTTGTGCTATAAAATACAATGAGCAAAGTTTAGGATCTGAATCTTATCATGAGAAAACAAACAAATTTAAATGCAAGAATACAAGAAAAATGATCCAATAATCTTAAAAACTGTCAGATCACAAACAATGAAAACCTGAAGAGGTGACATTTGAGATTAGCAAACACTACAGAGACATGTCTGCTGTGAAAAAAGTGGCTCAAAACTGGATTGATTACAGTGCTACCGAGGAAATTCTTGCAATAACTGACAAATCTTGAATACAATCTGGGGATGGTACTAACAAGCTGTTGTTAGGTGCTGTTGAGTCGAGTACCAACCAGAGTGACCCTATCAACAACAAATCTGAATCCTGTTCTATCTTGCACCATCCTCCTTAAATTCCTGACTTAAAGATTGTGTTGGTGAAGAGGTTGAGATTGTTCACAGCTTTCGTTTGCTTGGCTCCACAGTCAACACTCTTGGCACCAG